CTTATACACTAATTCTACATCACCGTAAGGTAAGTAGAATTAATACATAAATCATTAAAATTATCAACTTTTCTTATACACTAATTCTACATCACCGTTGGGCAGAAGTAAAATTAATGCATAAATCATTAGCATTACGATATTGTTATTAACAACGTTGGTCAGAAAATAACAACATCATAATCATGTCAAAACTCTTTTTCTACAATTAAATACCACATTGGTTCAAAATAATTGGAGAATCAACATTTTCTTTAGCAGCGGAAAAACTTTCCTTTTCTCCAATTAAATACCACATTGGTACAAATTAACTGGAGAATAAATCATTTCTCTAGCTGTGGAAAAACTTCTCCTTTTCTTGAACTTTACCCACAGAGAAAATTGTATTTTCTATTTCCTTTAATCCATTAATCAATTTCCAGAAAATAAAACATTTAATGGAAAAACTTTGAGAATATACTTTTTCTTTAGCAGCGGAAAAACTCTTACTCAATTTCTTGAATTTTACCCACAGGTAAAATACCTTTTCTATTATTCTTTTTGAGCCAATTTACATTTTTCAATTTTCCTAGAAAAAGAAAAAAGAAAAAAAACTCGGCTCTTGCTCTTTCTTTATTTGACTACCGAAGCGGACCACGACCATTGACCCCACACGCCCTTCCTCAAGACGCTCCCCAGCGCCCAGCCGCAACTTTGGGCTGGTGAATTGGCGCTGCTGCAAGACCCGCCTAGGTTTGAAAAAGCCGCCCGATCAATCGGTGCCATTGATTCCAATCGGACGGCCGAAGCGAGGCGTTCGGCCATCAAAACCCCAAAGACCGCTTTCGGCTCATCGCAACCCTAGCTTCATTCGCCCCTTGCCCTTCTCTCTCTTCGCCTCGCGCTCTCTTCTTCTCTACCTCGGTAGTATATGACCACCGAGAGGACACCGAGCGGGAGTGAGCAGCTGAGCCACTGGCAGTCGCCGCCCCTGCCCTCGCTGTGTTGCGTGCTCTCGACGGTGAGCACGCCGCCGTCCGAGTGGCTTTGCATGGCGCCCCTTGACCAAAGCCCGACGAGCAACTACCCCCGCTCGGCACTTCTTCTCCCACGTCGGCGAAAGGACGGTTCGCCCGGTGATTAGGGTTTGGATTTTTCTCTTCTTTTCTCTGATTTGCTGTTCTTCCTTTTCTTTTCTTTGACATCCGAATGGATCTAGGGTTAGGTTCTTCTCTTCTTTGGATTTTTCTTTTCTTTTCCTTTTCGGAGTTCATCCGAAAGGTTTTCATCTTTTTTTTCTTTCTCCATGCGAGTTAGGGTTAGGTTCGGTTGAACCCATCTTTTTCTCTTTGTTATTTTTCTTTTCGCTTGAATTTCCCGAACAGATTATCCCCGTTCTAGGGTTAGGGTTTCGGCTCTGTGAGCCTAGGGCCCTATTTCTTCTCTGATCCGAATGGATCTGTTCTTTTCTTTACTTTTGCCGTGCGCCGTCGAACTGTGCGGCTCCTTTCCCCCACGCGCGGTGGCGGTGATGACCGGTAGACCGTGAGCCGGTCTCTCTTTCTTTTGCTTTTACCCGGTTAGGGTTAGGGATACACAGGAATACACAGAGGTAACCTGCTCTGGTACCATTGTTAGGATCGAATGTGTGTACCTCACTGTGACCCGTAGATCCGGTTAGGCTCCTTGCCTGTCTCTGTTGCAGCGCATCGGCAAGCGTAGACGCCGATGCCGTAGGTGTAGTAGACGTCGTAGTGGCGAGGAGGTGAAGTCTAGTGCTGGTACTGCAGTGGTCCGATGGTGGCCCTGCAGTAGGAGCGACGGCGGTGGTGGCGGGCTCATCCCGTCGCTGGCAGCACGTCTTTAGATCGGATTAGGGTTTCTCTGTAGGTGGGATTGCGGCTCCAATAAACCTCTCTCTTCGAGCTCGATCCCCACCTTCTCTATTTATATGTGCTGTGCGATAAGGGCCCACCAACCAATTAGGGTTGGGCTCCCCCGATCAGGGAGCAGAGCCAAGGGACCTGGGCCTATTGGTGGAGATCAACTAACAGAAACAAATAAGAGACATAAGGATATTGTATATATGAAGTAAAAGAGACAGATGGAATAATTCCTTCACTCTTTAATATTACAGTTACAAATACAAATATAGATTATATAAGATCTATTTTAACCGTCTGCTGCAGCACTTTATACTACTGCAATTATTCTAATGTTCTTTCCATTTCAAAACCAGACATAAACGATAGTAGCATTCTTTAAGGGCACGTAAAACGGCGTCTCTTCCTCGTCTCTTTGTTACCGTTTTTTGCAAAATACACCCTCGTTCGGCTTGCAGACGGATGCCCTGTCGCCTCGCGAGGTGACGGCGAGGGCCCGTGCTCCGAGGCCGAATCGCCAGCTGAAGCAGCGTTGTAGGAGTCGTCTTCTTGACTCGCCGAAGGATGCGGATCCCGCGCGGGCACACACTGAATCTGGTATTCGCGCGCGTGGGGGGATGTTGGGCGCCCTGGCCGTTGCGAGCAGCGTGGTCGAGCTCCGCCGCGCCGTGGGCTGTGCGCGGCAACCTCCGCCGTGCCGCGAGCTAGGCGCGGCGACCTCCGCCGCGGCCGCCACGGGCCGCGCTGCAAGCTGCTCGCACCGACCTCCGCCATGCCGCCGCGGGACGCGCGGGCCAGCTCCACGCACCGCGGGCTGCGAACGGGTGAGCTCCGCCCCGGCCGCCGTGAGCCGTGCAGGCGACCTCCGCCGCTCCGCCCTGGCCACCCGGAGCCACGCGGGTGAGCTCCCGCCCTGAGCAGGTCAGTGCCAGTCCCTGGGATTGTTTGACAGAGATGCGCTATTTTGTTTGACAGTGCAATCGAAGCTCAAATATGTTTGACAGAGCCACGGCGCCATCGTCCATCGATGGATCCAGCGGAGGCGGCTTCCCCAACTTTGACAGAGATGCGTGCTGCTGCTTGTAGTACCTACTAGTGTTTGCTTCGATTGCTATATGCTATCAGTTTAAGATTTCTTTGATGTGCACCCCCTTTGTTTACAGTGATGCTTACGCCAGGGCTAGATGCTAGACCAGATATAGTTAAATCTGCATATAGTACTACAATGATCCTATCTTCAGTTGAGTGCCAATTTTCTGAGCCAGTTTTCTGAATCTTTAGTTAGAGCAAGCCTGTGAGCACTGTGATTTTTCTGAATGTGCTATTTTTCTGAATGTATGCAGTGTGAAGCTGATGTAAAGCTGCTGTGAAAACTGCTGTCGTGGAGATTGAAATTAAGCTTGCTGTGAACTGCTATGAACATCATCCTGTTAGCTTTATTGCAAAACCCTAGGCTATGAGGACTTGCAGCTATGAATGTTGTAGCAACTATTATCCTACTGTCCAGGAACTTTATCCTATCTGAATGTGAACTTTATCCTATATGTGCTGCTATTTTCTAAATGTGCTGCTATTTTCTGAATGTGAACCGAGCTACCAGGATACTAGCTGTTGTCTGATTATGGTGCACTACTATTTTTTTTAATGTGAATAGAGCTTTGCTACTATGATCTTTGAAGCAGTGGCAACTTGGGATCTTCCTATATGGCATGCTTTCTTTGGTATCATGTTGCTCTTATTTATCGTTGATACATTTTCTATCAAATAGCCACACAATAAAAGGGCGTACCCATTGTAGATCCTAGCTATATGCAAAGCATTAAATAGCTTAGAGACGGACCCCTGTTTATGGATTGTATGGCATATCTTTATATTTGTCTGTATGATAGATTCGAGGCGCTTAGAGACGAACCCTAATCTATGGGTTGTACATGCCCTAAGTAGAAATGAGCAAGGTGATCTGTGATGGTACCTATACGGTACGGCCGTATGGGTCACCATTCCCATCCCTATATCTTAAACTCTTGTAAAGCAAAACTTCACTAACATATTTTTCTCAATCCACAGTGCTCCACGCCATCTTCGCCATCCTTCTCTCTTAGCCCACACATCCACCTCCAGCCCTCCGTTTATGGGTGACCGAGTGGACAAACAGTTTCCAAAAAAATATTAATGCATCTCTTCGCTTCCATGACGCCTCGCAGCCTCCCTCTGCCATGATCTTTTCACCTGCCCTTCTGTCATTATTGATAGTTACTTCTCTTACGGCCCCTATCTTCTATTGAGAGGGCTCTGGTCTCTTTGTTTTTTTATCCCATCGCAAGCGTAATCAGTACCATCCATATCACCGTAGCGGGAGCTTCGTGCGTCGTAGTCAATACCAACGCCATCGCAGATTGAAGGCACCCGGCGGCAAGCTGCAGGATCGCTCCGGTGTCTACCCCCGTTGGCCCTACGCGGCTCTGTCTCCTCCGGCAACGGCAACTCGAGTCCAGCTTCGTCGGCCCCATGCGGCTCCATCTCCTTCGGCAGCGGCGAGCTGCGAGATCGATGGAGTCCACCAGCTATACCCATGCAACTCCGTCGTCTCCTGGTGGCAGCGAGCTGCAGCAGCGTATGCGGCGACCCCTGATGCACAGGTGCTGCCGCTACATCTCTACCACCTAGACAGCGTCTGAGACACCGGCGGCAGGACAGACTGTGTGGGACGAGAGGCGGCGAGGAGAGACAAGCAGGCACTAAAAAAAGGAACGTATAAGCCCATGGTTGTTTACTCTTCAATATGCTGTTCTTTATTTTTGTATAATAATTTGTTCTTTAGGTATAGATATCATAATTATTATTCCCATCATCTTGACATGTGCTACTATTTTCTATATTTTTTCATGATCGTTAGAACACCCGTCCCTATGAAATTTATATGTTTTCTAATCTTTTGTTTTTTTACCTGTATTTCTATTATATATTTCTATATTTTTTATGTTTCTGTGTTTTTTTACATTCACACGTTCCAAGGGACGGTAACTATAAATTTTTTCCGCTTCATATAAAGTTCTTTCTATATCATCTCTATTCCCGCCGCAACGCGCGGGTATTCACCCAGTTATTATTAATATAAGGGGTAAAAAAAGGAGTATGCTACTCCAGCTTGAAGTAATCGAGTCTAGGGCGAGTCTGCTCGCTGCCTTTCCTGTAAAAGTGCGCGATGAACTCTTCAACCATGACGCTCCTGTAGATCGGGGGGTTGCCACCGTCCGGCGACGTGAGCTCTTGGATGGGGCCATACTGCCTCATGGATCTTCCCACGTCAACGAAAGCCGCCACGGAGACCCTTGCCGTGTCAGCGCTCTGGTTCGCCAGAACTCGGTGCTCCACGCTCCTGAACCGCCCATTATTGCTGACAAGCTGCACCAGGATAATTAAGTGAAGTGGTCCAAGTGGATACATACATAAACAAACTATAGACGTCATCAATAATAAGTGAAGTGGATGCCTGGAGAAGGTCGCCGATGTTGATGATGAGAGCGCCGGGCACCGGAGGGACGTTCACCCAGCCCCTGTCGCCGCCGCCGTGGTCAAGAAGCACCTGCAGGCCGCCCACGGCGTCCTGCAGGAGGACGGTGAGGAAAGTCGGGTCCGTGTGCTTGGTGTTGCCGAGGGTGAGGTGCGGCTCCGGGCACGGCGGGTAGTAGTTGCACGCCACCTTGAGGCTCTCCCCGCAGCCCATCTCGGCGAGGCGGTCGCTGGCCAGCCCCAGCGACTCCGACAGCAGCTCGAACACCCACACCGCAAGCTTCCTCACCGCACCAACGTACTCGAACATCGCGCCCCTGTTCAATTTCATTTGTTTGTTTTTGTTTTTGACAGAATTTGTTTGTTTTTGTTTGAAATTCATGTACACGTTTGTGTGAAATATACTCGAAGTTAGTTAGTGATCTTTCGAAAAAGAAGTTAGTTAGTTAGCTTGCTCTGTAAGTACGTGCCTGAGGGACTCCGGCAGCTCCTCCGGCTGCGCCGGCTCCGGCGCCATGTCGAGGAAGACGTTGTCACGCCAGCTGGCCGCCGAAGACTGGAAGAGGTCGAGGTTGGAGTAGAACCGCATCTTGCGGGTGGTGTCCCTCGTGTAATACGGCCTCTTGGCCTCCACGGTGGCACGGTGCCCTCGTTGAAGCGCCTCACGGCCGCGACCATGGCCTCGCCCGGCACGCCGTGATTGACCACCTGGAAGAACCCGGCCGTCTCGGCTGCCGCCCTCACCAGGGCGACCACCTCCTCCCGCCGGGCAGCCGCGAGGTCGATCAACGGGATCGTTGCCGCCGCTTCATCTGCAGTGGTGGAGGATGTGATCGCCCCTAGGGAATCCGGTGGGTGGTGGAAGATGGACGGGATTGATTTGGTGCCGGAGTCGACGAGGCCCTTGACGCCGGCCTTGGTGTCATTGAATGCCTGTAGTAGCTCTCGCCGGCGGTAACTTAGATGCGGTAAATAATGGATTAGAGTAGAGGAGGAGTAATAGTAGATAGAGTAATAGTAGAGGAGTAGAGTAGAGGAGGAGTAGAGAAGTGTAGCAGTTAGTAGTTAAGAGTAGCAGCTAATAGCTAGGGAAGAGAGTAGAGTAGCAGCCAGCTAGTAGGAGTAGGAGTAGCTAACAGTAGTAGCAGCTAGCTAGTAGGAGTAGGAGTAGGAGTAGCTAGCAGTAGCTAGCAGTACAGTAGCAGTAGTATATACAAACAGTTGTATCCAAAATAATTAGGTATAAGCATCAGTTCATTAAGAATTACAAGATAAAAACAGTGTCATCATGAAAAAACATAGGTATTTGGGAAAAATAAAGTGGAGTAAGTAAAATACAGAGGCCTGCAAACCAGCTACAATAAAATACTTAAAAACTACATTACAAAAAACATTGTATGTCCAACTGTTTGCCACAATCTCAGATACATGTTAATATTATAAACCATGCATGATTTGGTATAAATCAATGTGTCTTATTGAAACAGTTTAGAAGTTTCTTTGAGTATCTATTGCAAACAGTTTAATAGGAATAGATAAGAGTTATGAACTGGGATCTTGGTTATAAAACAGTTTAGAAGAGTAGGAAAATAATCTTAAATCCAATCCTAGGGTATACTTGGTAATCTTCTTAGTTACTAATACTAATACTTGCATTCTTAGTTACCATGGCAGTGCAAAAAGAAGTCTTTAAATAAGTAAAACTCCTAATATGTTTGTATATGGTTGCAGACCTAGTATATTCAATTCATACAAACTTACACATACTGACATACCTATATATGGAGACTTCACAAGCCAAACCATATCACTAGTGATAGAACTGCATGGTCTATAGCTAGATTAATGCCATAAATGTCTTTATAAAGGGCTAAAACTATATAGTCCAAAAAACTATATACTTCTTTTTGAACAGAAAAAGATATGCTTAAAACTAAACTAAAACATTTGTATTTCATCTACAATTTATTTTTGCTAATGCTAGAGATACATGTATGGTCTGCTATAGCTAGATCGGCATCAATGCAAAAAAAAAAGAGTCCTATTTTATCTATAATTCATTACTGATGCTATAGATAAACATACATGGTCTGCTATAGCCAGACTGATATCAAGGTATCTTCAAGTGCTAAAAAAAGACAGTGTAAAGAAAGGAGTTTTATATATTAGTAGGACTTCTTAGAAAAAGATTCACAAACCAATCTACTACATGTGCTATATTTTCCATCTGTGTCAACATGACTAAAGGGGAACTGGTAACTGGTGGAGCAGCCATCCTTTAATTCCTCAATGTTAAAGGGGATTCCCCAATAACCAGTTTTAGGGATTTGAGGAAAGGAGAGTTGTTGGAGATGTTCAACATGACTAAAACAGCATACAGGCAATGGCTTAGATCATCCACATGTCCTAAAAGACCTCAACAATCAATTAACTTCATCTATGCCAATGCTCATATACATATTAAGAGTTTAATTCTACTGATGAGCTGCTATCTCACACCCAACAATCCATGTGTGGTTAGATACAGTTATTTATTCTAAAGGACACAGTCCACCCTCTTTGCCACAAGAAGTTTTTTCACTTATGATGAAATTCAGGCATGTCAACATAACAGAAAATTAGCTAGGAGCACAGATAATTTAGGTAAGGCTTCAGTTGCTGACCATGGTTGAGGTTTTGCAGAGGCATCCTGTAGAGATCCTCCCTATAGGTTTCACAATTATGATAAACCTTTTTTATAAAATTTTTATCATGTGAACCAAATCACAAAGAAAGTAGCATGGACAACCAATTAATCCTCCACAAGTCATCAAGAACATAAAAAAGTAGCCATTTATCTACTAGCGCCACTGCTAGCTGTTTGCCACTTTGGTAACAAGTTTGATCTGACTAATGTCCAGACACGTGCTACTAGCTGATACTAATAAGGTGTCAAATATGGCCAGGCGCAGCTAATAAGGAGTTTGGGTCAATGCCACCGAATGCATATACTGGTTAAATTTTAGCTTTCCAACATAAATGAAAATTACCCAACAAAACAAAGACTAAACCCATCAAACTTTGCTATAGGAGATGATTAAGGACATTGAAGGGGGCCATCAGTGTACAAAATATACAGAAAACGGATCTACAGCACGTCATCACCGATGCCAGGTTAAACCAGCGATGGATTCAAGCCACAATGACCCTACAAAATCGCTGTGCCGGTGGCATAGATTGCTGTTCCCAAAATACACTAATAATAACATTGTTAATGCATAAATGCTAGAATGACCACCAGAAATGAGAAGCTAAGAATCACTGCCGTTAGGAAATGGAACCTAGCTACCAGAGTTCGTAGAGCAACCAGAGATCATACATCATAGAGCAAGCAGAGTTCGTAGAGCAAGTAGAGATCTGACACTTATCGGTCCAGATGGACGATGTGCCTTTAGCGTCAGGGGCGGACGCCGGGGTCGGCGCGATGGGGCGGGCGGACGCGCTGGGGGTCGGCATTGCTGGGGCGGACGCCTGGGCGCTTGGGCGGGATGCGGGGTCGGCGCTGAGGCGGGCTCGGGAGGGCGCGGACGCTGGGGTCGTCAGTGGGCGTAAGGCGTGGGTGGGGTCGGTGGGACGCCGAGGGCCTGGCGCTGGGCTGGTGTGGGCGGGCTTGGGACGTGGCGGAAACCCTAGGATGCTGGGTAGCTCGGACGGCGTCGGAGGAAGAAGACAACGCCCAGACGATGACTCCCGTGCGCTTCTTCCTATTTATACTCGGTACTATTTGTAGGGGCGGTTCCTGATCCAGCCACCCCTATAAATACATTTGTAGGGGCGGTTCCTGATCCAGCCGCCCTTACAAATACATTTTTAGGGGCGGTTCCTTATCCAACCGCCCCTACAAATATTTTCTATTTTTTTAAATTATAAATTCTATATTTTTATATCATAAAAACACAAAGTAATATAAAAAATTGTGTATATGCATAAATATAATATTTTGTATTATTCTATATATGAAGAAATATATATATATATATATAAACAATTGTAGTCAAAACAATATAGAAAACAAAAAAACAAAAATTAAAATTTTAAATTTTAAAATTTCGACTATAATTTTATGACATTAAATGAAATAAAATAAAAATGTTGTAAACATAAAAGTTGTATAACTCATCAACATGTACAACTTTTATTTTGGTCATCTTGTCATGTGACTTTGTTTGAACGATTCAAATTTTAAAATTCAAACAATTTCAACTTGAAACAATATTTTAAAAGAGTAAATGATTTCAGATGAAAAACTCATGAATACCAAAGTTGTAGAACTCATCAATATGTACAACTTTATTTTGATCATATTTTTATTTGACCAAATTTGAACAGTTGAAATTTTGAATTTCACTAAATGACAACTTCAAACAAGATTTTGAAACCTTAAATGATTTCAATAATAAAAGTCATGAACATAAAAGTTGTTGAAATTCTCACTATCTACAACTTTTATTTTGGTCACTTCTTTATGAGATAAAGTATTAGTAAACATTGTTTATAAATTCACATATGACTCATAGTTTCATGAACTATACGAGAAACACGTTGATTTGTGAACAATGTTTACTATCACTTTGTCAGATGAAGAAATGATCAAAATAAAAGTTGTAGATCTTAATGAGTTATACAACTTCGATATTCATCACTTTTTCAGCTGAAATCATTTAATAGTTGAAAATCTCGTTCGAACTTATCATTTTTTTAAATTTGAAAATTTGAAGTGCTCAAACTTTGTCAAATGAAAAGAATGACCAAATCAACACACTAACTTGATAGGGCGAGATTTTAGAAAATTTTAGGAAAAAATCATCACATTTGGAGTTAGTATGAGGAAGAAAGACTAGTTACAAATTTTAACCAGAGATTAAAAAGAAAAATAATAACTGCTCATGATGATCAATGATGAACAAGTGTGATTTCTCTTTTTAATCTGTGACTGAAACTTGTAACTAGTTTTTCTCCCTCATACTAACTCCAAATATGATGGGTTTTTTTTCTAAAATTTTCTAAAATCATGCTCTATCATTTTAGTCTAGTCATCTATCTTTGTCACTAATTTTGAACAATTCAAATTTTAAATTTCAAAAAATAACAGCTTCAAACCTGATTTTCAAACACTAAATGATTTCACCTGTAAAGGTGATGAATATAAAAGTTGTATAACTCATCAAAATCTTCTATTTTTATTTTAGTCATTTCTTCATTTCATAAAGTGTTAAGTGATTTCATAAAGTTTTAGTAGTAATAGAGTGGATGTTCAAATAGAGTCATCTGGATGTTGCAAAGGGTAGTCTCACACACATGCATAAAATGTAGTCTCACACATATACAAAAATATGTAGTCTTAAACACGTACATAAATATATAGTCTCACACGCATGCATAAATGAAGTCTTACAAACACACACTTACACAAACACTACACGTTCAACAACTAGCTAGCCTGCTGTAACGACTTTTCCCTTGACACCTTTTCGTTCCCATGGCATTATGTCTTCGGGAGGTTCTTTTCCACAACACTAATCTTTTTAGAAAAGTCTGTGAATAGCGGCA